CCCGCCGTTTCTCCGCCGCAACGGCGGCGGCGGAGGTCGAAAAGCCCTCGGCGATAGGCGCAGCGACGAAAAACGACGCCGACGCGGGAGGTTCTGCCGGCAGAGAGACGCTGGGGAAGAGGCTTCTGAAGCTGATGTACCCGAAGCGCAGCGCCGTAATCGCCATCAGGAAATGGAAAGAGGAAGGCCGTACGGTCCGCAAGTTCGAGCTCAGCCACGTCGTCAAGGAGCTCCGTAAGCGCAGGCGCTACAAACACGCTCTCGAGGTTTCCTTCTTCTTCTTCTTTGATGATGAAAAGTTGTTCACGACATACATATATACATACATACATATATGTATATATTGTTCTTTCTAGCTGAGAAATGTGAATATGCATTTGGAATTCCATGGTTTTAATGAGATTGTGCAGCAGTTTCTTGTGTCAGCTAGCTAGCTAAAGAAGTTCACTAAATTTGCCCTTCGTTTATAATACAAGAAGGGTGTTCAATTTCGAATTTTGGATACTTTTTACCTGCTATGGATTTGAAATGTGAGGAGGAGATGGGAAACAAATGTTAATAAATTTGGAAAATTGTAAACTTTTTTAATTTTGAAGGAAAGTTTTATAATTTGTGTTCCAATCAAAAGATGGAACTTTTGGTCCTCCCCTTTTTTAGCTGAATGAAATTGTATACTTGGATTCACTACTTTATAAAAATAAAAAGAAAATTTTCCGGTAGGATATGAGAAATGTTTCGAACCGCAAAATCTATCTTAGGTCAGGTTCGTTTTGGTGTGATTTTGATGAAATTGGACCTTGACAAACATGTACTATAGGCCTGTTTGTTTCATAGGTTTGAATAGAAAATTTTGAACAGAAATTTGAATTTTGTGAGGAAAACACTGTAGTAAAAAGGGGCTATGTTAGTGTATACCCTGCTGTAGAAAGCTAACAAAGAAAAAAAAAAAGAGCAAGCTTTTTTTAGCATAAATTTTATTTTTATGTTTGTTTTAACCGTTTTGAAATTCTATGGAGATGAGATACTTATCTTTTTGCTTATAATATAACATAATATGTTTCATGGCGTTGGAACTTTGTGAGGATATTGTGAACTCTGCTGCTAGTTTACCATATTTTACTATCTTGGTCTGATTCTCAAAGCAGATATGTGAATGGATGACACAAGAAAAAGATATCAAATTGCAAGCAGGGGACTACGCGGTTCACTTGGACTTGGTTGCAAAAGTTCGCGGCATACATAGGGCGGAGAAGTTCTTTGAGGACTTGCTGGGTCCAATGGCGGACCACTCCACACATTCAACTCTGCTTAACATCTATGTCCAGAACAACTTGTCTGCCAAAGCTGAGGCCCTCATGGCAAAAATGTTGGAATGCGGTTTAGTGAGGAATCCCCATCCTTATAACCTAATGATATCTCTATACCTCTCAAATGGGGAACTAGAGAAGGTTCATGAAGTAATTCAGGAACTGATGAAGCATGCTTCACCAGATGTTTTTACTTACAATCTGTGGATCACTGTCTGTGCGAAGCAGAATGATGTTGAAACTGCAGAAAAAGTTTTCGGGGATCTAAAGAAGGCAAAGTTAGAACCTGACTGGGTAACATATAGCAGCTTAGCCAACTTATATATGAAAAGTGGGTTCAGCGAAAAGGCTGCATCTACTTTGAAAGAGATGGAGAAAATGGTGTACCGTAAAAACCGAGTTGCATATTCTTCTCTCCTCTGTCTGCATACAAACATGGGAGATAAGGATGGTCTTCGTCGACTTTGGAAGAAAATGAAGTCATTGTTTCGCAAGATGAACAACGCCGAGTACCATTCCATGATAGCTTCTCTTCTGAAACTTAAGGAATTGAAGGAAGCTGAGGATCTCTATGCTGAGTGGGAGACGGTTTCTGGGACTAATGACTCTAGAATTCCAAATCTGCTTCTTGCAGCTTACATCAACAGTGACCAAATGGGAATGGCCGAAAGTCTTTACAAGCGGATGTTAGAGAAAGATATTGCCGCTTCTTACACTACTTTGGAGCTTCTTACATGGGGGTATTTGAAGCAGAAGCAGGTGGAGAAAGTGGTAGCTTATTTCAAGAATGCGGTGAATAGTGTGGCAAAATGGGATCCCGATGAAAAGTTTGTTAGGGAAGTATTCAAGCTGATTGAAGAGCAAGGGAGTGTTGAAGGGGCAGAGCAACTGTTGGATATTCTTAGGAAAGTTGGTCATGTAACTACAGAGATATACAATTCACTCCTACGAACTTATGCAAAAGCTGAAAAAATGCCACTCTTGGTTGAGGAGCGGATGGGGAAGGACAATGTTCAGTTGGATGAAGAGACTCGTGAGCTAATAAAGATAACTAGCAAAATGTGTATCAGTGAAGTGTCTAGCTCTTTTCTTAAACCTTAGATAATAAGTGCCAAAAAAGAAAAGAAAAACAAGACGATGTAAACTTTGTTATCGTTTTTCTGGCTTGATTTCAGCAGTCAGTGATCGAGTTATCATTTTTTTTAATCAAAGAATAGCAATATCAAATCTCTGTACCAATTTTATGTGATGTGGCAAGTGAGTTGATATTCTTTTTATTGGCACATGTTGTTACATCTATTTATACCATCGAAATTATATGTTACCAATTGGAGGATTAGAGTTCACTTGATACTTCAATTAGTATTGGAAAATTAGTACGAGTGTTTAGTACGATTACTTTCTCTAAAGCTAATTCCAAAGCCATTAGCTTGCCCTTATCTGCTCACCGGTTTAAATTGGCCTTGTGTTTGATCAAATTGGTTCATAATCAAACTAAAATTCGAATTTTATCTCTGTTCTCCATTGATATTTTCTGATACATCTTTGTAACGCATAAAAGTACAATGTTATGCACGCACTTTATTTTTTATGTTTGAATTTGACCAACTATAATTTGATTGGATTCTTGCATAACATTTGTAATTTTTCGACTGAAATACACACGGCATAGTCTTGGTTTAGCACTAATTGTGACTTTAAAAGATCTCCTATATCCGCAAGTTAAGCTCAAAACTTCAAATCAGCATGGGAACAACACGTACCAAAACAAGTGTACCATACAAGGTTGATATCTCATAAGCAAAAATGATTTGACAAAATCTCCAACTTACAATCATTTTTTCTGGAAATTGCTGTATTCTGCTCTTATTTTATACTATGCTAGCTTCTGCTCGTATTTCATGCTATGCTAGCTTGCAAACAGTTCTCTCTCAATGGAAAAATAATACATTTTTACAAGTTAAAAAAACAATACAAGGTAAGGCGTATAAATAAGAAACTTTTTAACGTGTAGAAGTATATACATCAACGAGAATTCTATGGTGCGGTAATACCCTACTGATAGGACGTTGTTTTGAACTGTTAGGTCTTTATCAGGTTCTGTCGGTTTTGCCAACACGTTCAGTCTATAATTTACCTCTATAACTCTCTGACAGAATGCAGCAATCTTCTGTGTACAACCTGATTATAGAAATTTCTTGTCCGGAAGAACAAGCTCAATGCAGCAAGAGACCCGAAAAGGGTAGCTGATGCCATAATAAGAAACGACAATACAAAACAGTGCTTTCCAACACATATATTTCCTTCACCTGACGCTTCTTTGTCATATATATACCCAATAACTCTCACAGAGAAGATGTAAGAGCCAACAGGGCTTGCTATGGTGATTGTGTTAAATATGGTGCCCATATGAGCCACACCAAATATCTCAGAAGTTATTGTGGGCATCAAAGACCACTGAGAACCATAACAAACACCCAACAGTATTGAACCAACATATAGGGCACCGGGCACACCGGACGCTATCACTAAATGACCTAAACTCATGCCTGCTAAAGTGATGACCATGAACAATGGCCTCGCCCATCCTTTTGCGTGCAGGGCGTAATCCGACGCGTATCCAGCTCCGAAACGGCCAAGAAAATTCCAAATGCTCCATAATGAAACCAACGAGCCTATTTCAGAGCTCGTGTAATTGAGTGAACCTCCTATCTGGCTGATGTTATTCACTGTGGCAAGACCCGATCCCATACCGCATGCCATGGCAAGGAACAAGATCCAGAAGTCCATAACACGCATTGCTTGAAGAAGATTCAAGTTTTCTCCTGATTGCAATGTCCTGTTATCATTGGTATCCATCTCTTGGTCAGAATCTTGTCTTGCTAGAATCTTTTCACTACCCCGTTGTTTCGGTTCGATAATTAGTGATTCCTCCTCGGTACACAAAGTATGTGAGATCCTATCAGACTCCCTTTTCCAAGCTCCAATTGCAATGCAAAGAGGTGAGCCAAGCAACAAGATGAGTACAACAAACGCAAAGGCACGAACTATTAATCGCAATGTAACAACATGCTCAATTATTATAATAACCATAAGATAAGCAGCAACAAGTATAGCAACCAGTGACAAACTATTGAGATGCTCCTTCTCAGCTCCTTCACTCGTGTTATGGATCCTCACAAAACACGTGAGCAACAAGGTATTAACGGTTGGCAACAATGCTAGCATGAGAAGAAATGAGGTGGGCTTGTTGTATAAAAATGTTTCATATACTTGAACTAAAATTGCTCCACTCAGGCCAAGAAATCCCTAACCAGTTAAAAAAAAAATCACATTAAGTCTTAATATCACAACAAGAAAGTGACTTCAATTATAACGTTAGCAAACACGAATTCAACTACATTACTAGATAAGCATATTTTAGTACTAAGTAGCATAAGATTTGCCGACATCAATTGAAACGTAAAAATGCAGCTAGTGATTTTACAAAAAAATAAAGCCTGATCATTTACTAATTTCTTGGTGTACTATTATGAAAGTAGAGGAGTTTGCAGATATAAAAGAAGGATTATGCAAATTAAGGCTTTCTTCGTGAAGAATCGGGTACAATAATAAAAAATATGTATAATCACCAATAGCAAGAACTCGCCTCCACACGTCTTGGGGTATAACTAATAACATATTTAAGCACAATGCTCAGTATAGGATTTGTATGACAATAACATATAAAAACTATAGTCAGTCCCAGTATCAAGGACCAAAGTCTACAATCTTGGCATTAATAAAATGTAGACGGAAAATTCCCAGAAAAGAAAATTGAAAACTCCAACAAACTAGCTTGGTAATACCAAAAATGGACAATCACAAAAAACAAGACTTCTTCTCCACATGTCTTGAGATAAAAATTAACAAATTTAAGCACAATCTTCATGATGTAATTTATAAGGTAGCAAAAAAAAAAAAAAAAAAAAAAAAAAAAAAAAAAAAAAAAAAAAACACGTCAGTCCCAATATGGACCGGTTTGGAATTGTTTTTGTAGCTCCTAAAAGCGACTAAGGGAGAATTTGAGTAACAACTAGAATTTGGTTCATAAGCAACATTCGGAAATTTTACTCTGTTTGGTAAAATATTCTAAAAGTGATCGACACAGAATCCAGCGCTTCTCATACTATTTTTCCACTTCCCAGTATAAAACTAGCGTCAGTCCCAGCATCAAGGACCAAAGTCCATAATCTTGGCATCAAAGCTGTAGAAGAAAAAGTTCCCAGAAAGGAAAATTTGGAAACTTCCCAATGAAAACAGAGAGAAAGAAAATCCAAAAACTCCAATATAAGTAGCTTCATGATACCAAAATCGGACAATAACAAGACTTCTTCTCCACATATCTTGGGATATAACTAACAAATTTAAGTACCAAAAAAAAAACTTTAATTTTGGTAAATAATTAACCAATAAAACATTCTAAAAGTGATTGACATAAAATCCAACACTTCTCATAGTACTATTGGAAATTTAGCTACAGCAGAAACAAAACAAAGAAATTCTTTAACAAGCACAACAATATCAAAAGTAGATGTTACACCATGATCGAGAGATCGGCCACCCTCTTGAATGACAGACGCCGAGGAATGCTCGCAGAGGATCGGTCGCTGGCGCCGAGAGAACGCCACTATCAACGCCGGGAGACCATGCGCGGGAAGGGGCGCCGGGCGCAGTGACTCGGCGTTCGGAGGCCACGGCGCCGGGGTATCGCTGTCGCCTCTCTCTACCAGCTGTCTTGTCAACTCGAAGAGGGGAGTGTTGATTCGACTGCTACTGCAAAAGTCAGAAGGTCAGGCGGCAGATAGGAAGGATCAGCCGCATTCCCCGGGACAGTCATCATGAAAACTCACATACTCTCACGCTTACCGATGACAAAGGATGGCTTCCTCCTTGGGAACGGAGAATACACATTCACATGTAAAGGCCTATAAATAGGGCCAATAAAATCCAGAAGAGGGTTAGAAACCATTTCATTACTAAGAGAAAAGAGCTTGTAACCGGCTGAAATATTAGTGCATGCACAAGTGGATTAGGCAAAGAATTATTGCCGAACCACTATAAAATTGTTGTCTTCTTTACATTATTTTTCAGTCTTAATCCTTAATCGAATCTTGAGTGTGATCTCGCGAGTGTTTTTGGGAGATACCCACGAGTTGTCGAAAAAACACCGTCAACAATTGGTGCTAGAAGGAGGGCGGTAAGCCCGGAAAGTTAACCCAGTTTTGAACCAAAAAAGAGCAACTATGCCTCCCAGGAACGCACGCTTACTATCGGCCAACCCGATAAGCCAGGCGACTCAAAACCTCGCCGCCGCTGGGACCTTCACGAATTCGCTCCCACCGGCTGCCGAAAGCCCCCCAGACCGTATCGACCAGCTCCAAAGGCAGGTCGAAACGCTGGCCGCAGCCGTAGAAAGGATGGTTACGGACCTCGCCGGGCGGAATCAATGGCAGAACCCAATGCCGCCGCTCGAAGACGCGCCGATGAACCCGGTGAACGCCGCTGTTGGGGGCCAAGAGATTGGCGACCAACGCGGTGACACCGAGGAAATCGGTGACAGTCGAGCTAATGATCCCCATCCGACCAAGTTGAATAGGTCTGTCGGGAGTAGACAACGGGCGGCACGGAGGAGAGCGCGGGAGAAGGCTGCGGCGCAAGCTGTGAATAACAGGGATGCGCCCCCTCGACCGCAACGGGACGCGAATAGGAGGAACGCCGTCCCCGTTAAGTCTTCATCTGTGCACGGCGGAGACCTCAGGACGAGGCTCGACGCCCGACGCGGGAAGGCCGTGCAGCTGCCGAGAGAGGAAGAGCTCGCTGCGGATAATAAGGCCTTGGCCGAAAAAATGGCTAGGCTGGAAAAGCAGATTGGGAGTCGACTGAACAACTTCGAACAAGTTGTGGGGAAGGTGGCCGAGGCGGTCAATGTCGACGCCAAGATGTACACGTCTCACGACCACCCGTTCACGGAAAACATCATCCGGGTGCCGCTTCCCGACAAGTACAAATCGCCCTCCATCCTGCTATACGACGAGAGGAGTGACCCGGACGACTACTTGGAGGTGTACACATGACACATGGTCCTGCATGGATACCCCGAAGAGGTTATGTGCCAGGCATTCAGGAATCACCTCTCCAATTCCGCGAGGAGATGGTTCAGATCCCTGAAACCAAACTCCATCACCAGCTGGGATGATCTGGAGAACGCCTTTTTGACTCATTTTATAGGTGTCAAGAAATAAATCCCACCAAAACAAAACCTCTTGAGAGTATACCAGGGACCTAATGAGTCCCTGAACGACTGGATAGCCCGGTTTGGGGAATAGGTCGCTGCCACTGAGGGAATCTCCGACGAAGTGTCCTGATGGGGGCGCTGTCGAGCATGAAAAAGGACATCTCCTACAGCACAGACCTCGACCGGAGACCGCCCCACACCTACCAGGAATTCCTGATGAGGGCACAGGGGTTCATCAACGCCGAGGAGGCAAAAAAGGCCTTGAAGAGCAAGGCAGCAACCCCTGCCAAGGAAGAGGTGGGGCAGACGAGCAGTCAGAACAACGGCAAAAAGCGTTGAGGTCCCCCTCAGGTGCAAGCTGAGCAGAGGTACAACCCGGCTCCGAGTAGTAGGGGCGCCAACGCCTCGACGAGCCAGGGGGAAAATAAGTGGCCAAAGCCGCAACGGTACGACGCCTACACCCCCCTGACTATGGGGATCGATGACGTCTACCACGAGATCAGTCATCTCCAGGTTCTGCGCCGACCACCACCGCTAAAGTCTGACCCGGCACGAAGGAACCAGACAAATATTATCGGTTTCACGGCGAGAGCGGGCACACTACGGCCGAGTGTTATGACCTCAGGGACGAGGTCGAGAGGTTGATCCGAGAAGGGAGGCTCAGCGAATACTGAGCCGACCGTCGGAACAACAACAACAGGCGCAACAGCAACCAACGGGATGAGCAGAGGCGTGATAACCCGCCCGAACCAGTCGGCATAATAAGAACAATCTTCGGCGGACCATACCTCGGAGGCACCTCCCGACGCGCGCAAAAGGAGTACGCTCGAAAGGCAAAAGAGAAGTTCAGTCAAAGGGTGATGAACGTCTCTGGACGCGAGGCTAAGGCAGCGCGATATGAGGATGCTGAGATCACTTTCTCGAAGGCCGACGCGAGGGGGGTACATTTCCCCGAGAGTGATGCCTTGGTTGTCGAGGCCATGATCGGTAACCATACGGTCTGCCGTATCCTGGTCGACAACAGCAGTTCCGTGGACATCTTGTACGCGGACTGCCTCGACAAGATGGGGATCCCCCGCACGAGGCTCCAGAACAGTGCCCAACCCCTGTACGGTTTCACGGGGGACAGCGTCATCCCGGAAGGGGCTATAGAGCTGCCTATGACCATTGAGGGCCGACCACACACCTCGACTGTTATATCAAAGTTCCTGGTGGTGAAGGGAGGCGACCAATACAATGCGGTCATAGGACGTCCGACGCTGAGGGCCTTGAGGGCAGTAACATCCATCTACCACCAGGTGATGAAGTTTCCGACTCCCAGTGGGATCGGCAAGGCCCGAGGAAACCAGTATGAGTCGAGGCTCACGTACTCGGAGACCGTCCGCCACTACGCCGAACCAACGCAGGTTCGAAGGGAGCTGAGGATGGTCGAGATTAGGGCGGACGAGTACGACTTGGACCTAAGGTTCCCGGGAGAAGAGCCCGGGACGGGACCAGTCGAGGAGTTGATCGAGATCCCCATTGACGAAAGGGGCCCGATAAGAACGCTAAGGATAGGTTCAGAATTGGGAGCGCAGGTCCGCGAAAGACTGGTCGAGTTTCTTAAAGGAAGCCTCGACGTGTTCGCCTGGACCCACGAAGACATGGAAGGGATAAGCCCCGGCGTCATGTGTCACCGGCTGAACATCGACCAGAAGTTTCCGTCTAAGAGACAGAAGCGTCGACCCGTGAACGCCGAAAGATCCGAAGCCCTGCGGGAATAGGTCGACAAGCTGATCATGAACAACTTCATTCGAGAAGTCATGTACCCCGAGTGGGTGTCGAATCCCGTACTGGTGAAAAAGCCGAACGGGGAGTGGTGAACGTGCGTCGACTTCAGTGACCTCAACAAAGCATGTCCCAAGGACAGCTTCCCACTACCCCGAATTGACCAGCTAGTCGACGCCACGGCGGGGCACGAACTACTGAGCTTCATGGACGCGTACTCTGGGTACAACCAGATACCAATGCTCGACCGCGACGAGGAGCACAC